AGGCTGCTGTGCGGCCGCTGGACCGCGGCGTCCGCCCTGCCAGCGCCGTCGCAGCGGCGGGAGGCGTTGTGCGCGGGGCTGCCGCGGGGCGCGGCAGACGCCCCAGCGCTGGTCGCCAGGCTGCTGTGCGGCCGCTGCTGGACCACGGCGTCCGCCCTGCCAGCGCCGTCGCAGCGGCGCGGGGCCTGTGCGAGGCTGCTGTGGGGCCTGCGGCATCCCCGGCCCGCAGCGAGGGAGGGTCCAGCAGCACACGGCACGGGGACGCTGTGCGGCCTCGCCGAGCTCACGAGGCGGCTGCCGGGTCGCGAGGCTCCGGCGCGGCGGCTGGGCACGGGAGGGCGCCGCGGCAGAGGCGCGGTGGTTCCGCAGGCCTTCTGCCGAAAGGGGGACGCGTACACGAGGCCCTCGGTGCTGAAGGCGATCAACCGCGGATTGGGTGAGCTGCGGTGGTCTGCGGCCTGGCAGGCTTCGAGCTCGGCCGCAAGCAGCTCCTCCATGGGTCGCAGGGCCCCTGGAGCATCGGTCCCGCACGCCACCACAAAGCCTTTTTCTCGAGCACACACACACACTTCGAAACGCCATCCAGTGCGCGTCTACACGCTTCTGGGCTCTGTTCGCCCACTTTTTGCGGCATGGGCACACACAGTCAAAGACTTGCAATTAAAAAACTGTGAACAGGGAGCCAGAACTACTTGGGGCCCCCATCTGCGCCTTGATTTACGAGGAGCGCCTGGGGAAGATCCCCGAGCCCATGCCGAAACTGGCCCGGTCCCACACTACAGTCACCGTGCGACCGTAAGTAAGGCTCGCTGGATAAGGAAGGAAGAGGCTTTTCCGTCCAAGGCGAGCCTCGGCCACGAATAGGTTCCCCGACCTAGACCCAAGCAACAGCGCGGGGACCAGAGCCCCCCATGAGCCTGAAGCGGTCCTCACTTCAGCATCTTCACTGCGCGACTACGAGGCTGCCACACGGTGCTCACAGAAGCGCAGCGCCGCACCGGGTGGAGTCTGAGTGCCGTGCGCAGGAAGGCTTCAGCGCGCGCGGCCCCTGCCGCCGCCGCGGCACCCTGCCCTGGAAAGGCCTGGGCCGAAGCGCCCGCGGGCGCGGCTGCGCCAGGGATGGCGACGGACGTGGCGACAGCAGCTCCCCAACGCAGGACGCAGGGAACCAGACAGCATCGCAGAGTCCCCAGTAGAGGTGCTGCCACACTGGCTACACACCCAAAAGCCCTGACCCCGAGAGGCGTGTGAGCCCCAGCAGCCCATGGGCGGAGGTGGCTCGGGACGCTTCCTGCTCCAACCCCAGGGACGCGAGGGTGCCCGCATGTTGTCCGCGCTGCGCAGGCCTGCCAACCCTGTCAGAAGACTCTGCATAGCACCAGCTGCGCCCCCTCCAAGAGACCCCCAGGAAGCCTTAAGAGGCCCCCACGAGGCTTCCAAGCGGCCCCTAAGAGCTTCCCAAGAGGCCCACAAACTACCCCCAAGAGGCCCCCAAGAGCGCTCGTCGTCGTCGTCGTCGTCGTCGTCGTCGTCGCCATTCAGGGTCGGCGGCACCGGCCGTGAGGCCTTCGCAACATGGACGGGACGGCGGGACGGCGGCGGTGCCCTCCAGGTGGCCACTCGGCGCAGGCCCGCCGTCCCTGCAAGCACACAGTGCACGACACGCTGTGCGGCAAAAGACGGCTCATGCACGGGCGCCACGCGATCGCTTCACGGTGGCTTCTGACATGGCGGGGGGGGGCCGCATGTTGGCTGCTCTGTGCAGGCTCGAGATCCCTGACAGAAACCATACAGAGTGCACTTTGCGGCAAAATCTGCCTCATGCGCGGGCGCCCCGCGATGACTTCGCATTGGTCCTTGGAGAGGACAGCAGGCGCCCTTATATTGTCTGCTCTGTGCCTCCGGCGGGACTCGTGAACTCAGTGGGATCGGGGCCCCAGGCTCGGGGATGCTGCGGATGTGTTGGGAGGGCGCGTGGGAGTGGTCGGCACGGCTTGCGGCTTGGGGTAGCGGGCAGAAGAGCTAGGAGGAGGAGGGGGAGGAGGAGGAGGAGAAGGAGAAGGAGGAGGAGGAGCGAGGAGGAGGAGGAGGAGGAGGAGGAGGAGGAGGAGGAGGAGGAGGAGAAGAAGCGAGGGGGGGCGAGGAGGAGCGAGGAGGAGCGAGGAGGGAGGAGGAGGAGGAAGAGGAGGAGGAGGAGGAGGAGGAGCGAGGAGAAGGAGGAGGAGGAGGAGGAGCGAGGAGGAGGAGGAGGAGCGAGGAGGAGGGAGGAGGAGCGAGGCGGAGGAGGAGCGAGGAGGAGCGAGGAGGAGCGAGGAGGAGCGAGGAGGAGCGAGGAGGAGCGAGGAGGAGCGAGGAGGAGGAGGAGGAGCAGGAGGAGGGTACGGAAATGCCCCGCGACATTTCCTCGACGGCCCGAGGGCGGCCGAAGGGGGCCCCTCCCCCTGCCCCCACAGACCCCCCGGGTAGAGGGCGTCCAACGGGGCCCAAGACCGCTCCAAGGGAAGGACCAAGAGAGAGCCCAAGATGGCCTCCACGAGGGCTCAAGACACAGCCAACCCGCATAGCAGGGATGTGCGGTGAGGATGCAAGGGCCCTGGACGCCCATGTCGAAGCTTTTCGAGCGGGGCGCGGCCAACGAAGCTGGCCAAGGATGGACCGAGCAGGCAAGGATGCAAGGGTACCCTTGGGAAGGTTGCCCATCCTTACTATGCGGGTTGACTGAAGCCACAGATGGCCTCTAGATGGCCCCACGGGCGCCCCCAGAGCAAAAGGTTACCGTGGGGGAGCAGGAGGGGCAGACAGAACGGAGACTCCCCCCTTCGCTCTATGCCAAAACCATTGACCAAACGGTGTCGTATTCAACTCTTGCGACATCTCGGGAGCACCTTGGCGGGGCGTGTAGGCTGACATGCCTCCAGGATGGGCTCGGAGAGCCCAAAGGTGGCATCCCGAAGATCACTCGAGATAGCCGCCACGCTGCATCCAAGAGGACCCAGAGACCGCTCCGAGCGACAGCCTCAGGTGCCTCCTGGGCCTGCCAAACAATGACGCCCACAAGAGGCCGGATGCCTCCTCCTTCTCCCCTCTTCTTCCTATCCGTACTCTTATTAATAATAATAATAATGATAATAACTATAATATGGTCAGCATTATTAGTAGTAGTGGTATTATTATTATTATTAGTAGTAGTAGCATTATTATTACTAGTATTATTAGTATCCCTATGAGTCGTATGATTAGTATTGGCTTTAATAGTTTCTTAGTAGTAAGATTGTCATTATTATTAGGATTGGTCTGGTTATTATTATTATCCGTATCATTAGTATGATTAGTGTTCGTCATAGTTGTCTTGTAATATTACTATTATAAATAATAGTATCGTTATTAGTATTGCTCTTTTTTGTCTTTTATTATTGGTACTGTTCCTCCTCATCCTCCTCGTCCTCGTCGTCCTCCTCGTCATCGTCAGCATCATCAGCATCATCAGCATCAGCATCATCAGCATCATCGGCATCAGCATCAGCATCATCATCATCACCATCATCATCATCCTCTTCTTTCTTTCGCACAGCTTAAAGCCCAGACTAGGCTAGCAGACTACAGCTGTGTCATGGGGGTGCGGCCGCACAATCAATTGACTGAGCCTGCCACGGCTTGAAACTTGAACAACGCGCTTCTGAATGGAATAACAAGAAGCGAAGACGAGAACAAACAGGGGGAGGGTAGGGGGCAGAAGGGCCGGGAAGAGAAGCGGGGACCAGAACGGGGGGCGGGAGAGACAGAAGCGAGAGGGCGAACAGAGACAGACGGGAGAAGGCGAGGGAAAACACAATAGAAAAGCACACTTGCAAGGATCGGGGCCCTGACTCTACCAGCCTCGATCTAGAAACCAAGTCTAGATTCGTACTACGCCTCCTCATCCTCGTTCTCCTCCTTCTCCTCCTCAACCTCCTCCTCCTCCTCCTCCTCCTCCTCGTCATCGTCCACCTCCTCCTCCCCCTCCTCTTCCTCCTCCTCCTCCTCCACCTCCACCTCCTCCACCTCCTCCTCCTCTTCTTCGTCTTCTTCTCATTACTATTACCATTATTATTCCTAATATTAAAATTAGTATTATTAGTCTTTATAGTATAATGATTAGTATTTCTATCATTAGTGCTACTAGTATCATTATTATGATGACTCGTCTTAGTAGTATGAACCTTCTTAGTAATTGCATAAGTACTATTCGTCTTCTTATTAGTCTTCGTAGTATCAGTCTGATCAGTAGTAGTGTTAGTAGTACTAGTAGTATGCTCATGTTGGCTTAGCATTATTGTTCGCAGTGCCATTATGAATATGATTATGCGTAATATTATGATTTGCAAGTGTATTCGTACTCGGAATACCAATTGCCGGAGTGTTCTTCTCAGTAATAATCGTATCACGACTACTAGTATTACAACTGCTTTTCTTAATAGTACCAATACTGTTATGTATCAGCATTGGTAGTCTTAGTACTCTTCTTGTTAGTAGTATTGGTAGTATGATGTGTCGTGTTATTGTTTGCCTTCTTCTTGTGAATACTAATATTATTATTGTGATAATATCATGATTACTATTCCTCCTCCTCCTCCTCAGCCTCCTCTTCGTCATCGTCCACCTCCTCCTCCTCCTCCTCCTCCTGCCCCTCCTCCTCCTCCTCCTCCTCCTCCTCCTCATCATCATCATCATCATCATCATCATCATCATCATCATCATCATCATCCTCTCCACCTGGGACGGCAAGCGCGGTCCGTCGCGCGGCCGCACACCCCGTGTTCCTCCGCGACGGCGGCGCCCCAGAAGTGCTGCGCAACACCCCCATCGTCGCCCTCCGCATCATCATCGACGACGGCGTCGACGACGACGACGGCGTCATCGACGACGGCGTCGACGACGGCGTCGACGACGACGAGACGACGGCGTCGACGGCGTCCTGGAGGTCATCGACGACGGCGTCGACGACGACGGGAAGGCACTTTTCCCAGTCGCGGGGCGACGCGGCGCTCCACAGCTCGCGAGGCGGCGGCGAGGACCGCTCCACCTGGGGCGCGCCGCCGGCCGCTCCCGGGAAGGAGGGGGGCATCGTCCACCTGCTCCCTGCTCCTGCTCCTGCTCCTGCTCCTCCTCTTCATCCTCCTCCTGCGCCTCCTGCGCCTCCTCCGCCTCCGCCCCCTCCTCTTCCTCCGCCTGCTCCATATCATCGTCCCCCCTATCCCCCTCCTCCCGCTCCCCCTCCCCCATCCCTCTTCTCCCCCCTCCTCCTCCTCCCCCGAAAACGTTTGGCGCAAGCACTCCTCAAAGCCCGTCGGGTTCCCAGGGGGCGAGCGCCCGGAAGCCTGGGCTCGAGGACCCTCGGGCGGCGCGGCCCCCCCTCCCTCTCCTCCCCCTCCTCCTCCGAAAACGTTTGGCGCCCTCCTCCACTCCCGCCTCCTCCTCTCCTCCTCCTCCTCTCCTCCTCCCTCTCTCTCTCCTCCTCCTCCCTCCTCCTCCTCCTCCTCTCCTCCTCCTCCTCCTCTCATCCTCCTCCTCCTCCTTCCTCCTCCTCCTCCTCCCCTCCTCTCCTCCTCCCTCCTCCCTCCTCCCTCCTCCTCTCCCTCCTCCTCCCTCCTCCTCCTCCTCCCCCTCTTCCCTCTCCTCCTCCTCCTCCTCCCCCTTCCCTCTCCTCCTCCTCCTCCCCCTCCTCCTCCCTCCCCTCCTCCTCCTCCTCCTCCTCTCCTCCCCTCCTCCTCTCCTCCTCCTCCTCCTCCTCCTCCTCCTCCTCCTCCTCCTCCTCCTCCCCCTCCACCTCAGAGCCCGTCGGGCTCTGAAGGTGACGGGCGCCCAGCAGCCCGGGCTCGAGGACCTCTTCGGGCGGCGCGGCCGAACTGGGCCCACGGCGTCCGCGCAGCGGAGCCCTGGCAGGCGGCCAGCGGCCCTCTGACGCGAGGTGCACCTCCACGGGGCCCCACGGGCCTCGCGGGGGGCGAAGCGTCGGCTGCTGCTCGAGGTTCCGGCTGCAGCTGATCGGCGGCGAGCGAGGGGAGGAAGTGAGAAGGAGGAAACCTTTTCAGAAGGCGGCGGGGCTCCTCAGAAGCCCCGGCCTTCTGAGAGGCTGTCTGCGTCTTCGGGGAAGGCTCAGAAAATGTCTCAGAAGGCCAGGGAACAGCGTCGCTCAGTCGGTGGCGGAGCGTGGCTGTGCTGTTCTCGCTGCTGGAGTGCGGCCCCTGGCGTGAAGCGCACGCTGGAGGGCAAGGGGCGTTGGGCACGTGGTCTTCGTGGGGGCGAAGCGTCGGTTGCTGCTTGAGATTCCAGCTGCAGGTCAGCGACGATCAAAAGCGGATTCTACGCGAGATGATACAGCAACCTTACGCGGCAGATAACGCAGACCGCCAGCGCGGCACTCCACATTAGAGACCAGGGCGCTTACGCGCGACCTTGCGCGGGCAGCTTACGCGCCAATGTCCACGAAATCGAACCCGTTGTTTAGCGTCGATCGGTTGGTGGAGTGTGGCTGTGCTATTCTCGCTGCTGGAGTGCGGCCCCTGGCGTGAAATGCACGCTGGAGGGTAAGCGGCGCGGGGCTGAAGGGCTTCGTGGAGGGAAAGCGTCGTCTGCTGCTTGGGGTTCAAGCTGCAGTCGGTGGCGGAGTGTCGTTGTGTTGTTCTCGCTGCCGAAATGCGTCCCCTGGCGTGAAGTGCGCGCTGGACGGTAAGCGGCGTGGGGCTGAAGGGTTTCGTGGAGGGGAAACAGCGGCTGCTTGAGGGGGCAAGGGACTCCCAACGCCCTCCAAGGATCCCAAGACGGCCGAGGAAAGCCACTACGGCAGCCAAAATGGCAAAATATCAAGTCAGCAATCAAAAGGCACTCGGCGGACCCAAAGAAAGCCCCGACGGGCGCGACAAGGGTCCCACCATGCTGCCAAGACACCAAACAGAATGCCAAGAGGTCTTCTAAGAAACCCCAAACCCCTTACAAACCTCACTGGCCTTTTTTTTCTGGCGTGTTCACAAACAGCTCGTCTGCAAACATTCCTATATACAAGTGGCACGTGTGTGCCCAGGCTCATACAACAAGCTGAAGGGGCGTTTGAAGCAGGAGTGACATGCAACAGCGAAGTCGCACTCGAGCGCAAGTGGGGTTGCCACACCTTGCGATGTGTGTACCAGGGCCCCCCAGGAAGCCTCAGGAGGCCCGACTTGGATACCAGGAGAGGCTCCAGGAGGCCCCAGGATTGTGAGTGTGTGTGTGTGTGATGTGTGCTTTGTGTGGTGCGTGCTTTTTGCGTGTTGTCGGTGTTGTGTGTGTATGTTATGTTTGTCTAGCGTGTGATGTGTTGGGCGTGATTTGTGTCTCTGTGTGTGCATGTAGTTCTGAAGCCCCAGGAGGCCCCAGGAGGCCCCAGGCGGCCTCAGCAGGCCCAGGAGAACTCCAGGAGGCTCCGAGGCGGGGTCTGGGGTACCAGAAGGTCCAGAAAGCCCCAGGAGGCCCCAGGAGGTTCCAGGAGGCCCCCAGGAGGCTCCGAGGAGGGGTCTGGGGCTCGATTTTGGGAGGATGTCTCAGGCGAAACCGCCATTCTCTGAGAATCGGAGTCAAAATCATTGAAATTACCATGTGTTTTTGAAGGTGTTATGATAAAATGTTGGAAATCCTATGTGTTTTTGGACCCTGACGTCACGATCTGCGTGAGGGGTGCCACCGATTTTCAGAATTTCGAGGACGTCCCGAGCGAAACGGCCAGAAAAATCGCGAACGACGGACGCATTAATCGCCTCTGAGCTCTACTCCCTCGGAGAGGTGCGTATGATAACATAAAGATATGTTGCTATAGATCTATATATATATATATGTATGTAAATGTGTATATATATATAGATATGTGCATATATACATATGACCCCCGCACGGGTTGGACCCCAGAGGTCTCGGCTCTTTCACCGAAATCGGCAATCGTCCCGAATCGTTTCTCCAAGGCCCGTGGGCCCTGGGCCTGACAGGAGCCCCCAGAGGCCGAAAAGTTTGAACGACCGTCCGTCGTAACTTTCTTCTTTGTAACCACATACGGGCACCCAGGTCCAAGGGGAATAAAACGACCGCCGGACCCATCCAGGGGCGCGTTCTGGGCAGAATTTTGGGGCGGATCGAGCCGTGTCGACGAAGAGTTTCAATAGGCCCAGACGGGCGACAACCATCCGAACCCTGGACCTTCGATACTCGCCGACGCGAGGGCGTCTCGGAAGAAACCCCCGAAGGCCGCAGAAGTGCGCCTCTCGGGACCTCATATGAGCATCGTTTCACTGATGGCCTTCGCCCCGTTGGCTGAGTTACCCCCCAACTGGGGATGGTGGGGCTGGGATACCCTGGCTCACTCGAGCAGACGAGCGCGTTCCACTACTCGCAAAGTAACTCGATCCGCCGTGGGGGATCCACGATAACTTACATCGAAGCAGACATGTCTTTTTCTGACGTCTGCGAATAGGCACTTTACGATTAGTGGAACGCGTTCGGCGATCGAAAATGGTACCGGCTAGACAGTGCTGATGGCAAGCGCCCACCAGTCGGACAGCGCTCGTCGCGTTGACGACGTCCACCACGGCGTACAGCGGCGCCCTGCGCAGCCCAGCGGCCTTCAGGCTCTCGCCTCGGTGGCACGGGAGGGGGAGGAAGTAGTACACTGGAGGCCAATCCACAAGAACCCTTCCACGAGAAACAAGACCCTGAAACCCCAGGACTTCCCTTGAATTTCGGTGTGGGCACGTCACGCACTCCATCGCAAAACCATCGAAAACCGAACCCAAGAAACCCAGGGCACCCTGGAGGCGAGCAAGGCGTTTCTTGGCATGGGCCCCCACTGTATAGCATGTGATGGTACGGGTGTGCCCCAGAGGCGAAGTCAAGTGCCAGTCACGAGCGCCAGACCGACTCGGACTCGAAACCTTCGCCGGCGCCCGACGGCCCCCTCCACCGCCCGGGCGAACGGTGGCCGGGCGCCCGAGTTCGCTGACGCTGCCGCCGCGTCCCCCCTGCGGCCAGTGCAACCACCCGCGCGCTGGCGTGCCCAAAGATCCGAAGATATGATTTTCTCAATCCGGCGTCTTTTCCTGGACATCGGAAATCGCATCGGCGGACGTTTGCGCGGGGCGGTGGCGCGCAACGATCAATCTGGAGGTCTTCGGCCGAAGCCAGGCGAGCCTCGGACCTGCCGCGACGTCGGCTCGGCGCCGCTCCCGAATCCCAGACGCCCGAGAAAACTTCCGCCGCCTCCTCCTCCTCCCCAGGTCTCCTCGTGCCCCAGTTCTGCGACGGCCAGGCGACGGCCGCGGACGCAGCGGGGCAGGTGGGCAGGGAGGACAAGGAGGAGCAATTATTCGCCCTTGGAGGAGCCGCAGGAAACTCGAGGGAAGCGGAAGCGCCACTACGTTCAGCCCAGAACGGTTTAAAGCCCGTCTGCATGAGGAGGGTCACGCCAAATAGAAAATCGTTCACGACGCTGCGCCCAGGCGGTCTGCCAAAGGTCAATAAAATACCTTGGTTGTAGAAGGAGTTGAAAATATCTACCTTCAATCTCCATGATCCAAAAAGATGAAGATGCCACTGTCACCCACCGCGATGGCGCGCAAACTGATTAAGCGACATGTGTTTTCCAGGTTCAGACTTTCGCTGGCTCGCATTGTCGTTCGCGGAGACCCGGGCGCGCAACTTCCCCAGCCCAATCGCGCTGCTTTCCGCCCGCGCCCTGGCCCGCGATTCAACGCCGCGCTGGCGCATCGCCTGCGATCATTTCCCTGCTCCCACGCATATGTTCCACCATCGACCTAGGCCCCCGCTTTGGAAAAACGAAGGATGCTCCGGACCATCCCCCTCTGCACCCTGGACAGCGCCCGCCCTCGCCGCGCGGCGGGATGACGCGCGCCCGCCGCCTGCGGCAGCGAGAGTTTGACCATCACGTTCAGCGATTGGCGTTTCTTCTTGAGAGACCTGGCCTCGCGCGCGAACAATACCCTGCATGTGTGAAAGCACGCCCATGCCTTGTAGTCGAACTCCGCCCTCAGCGAGACATCGGACGCGACGACGGCGCCGAGGGCCTTGAACCCTTCGACTCGCCCAGTTCTCTTACCATTGATCTGCATGGCCACCGGCGCCTCATCGCCCGGGGAGGCCGCGCACCGCGAGCATTCCCCGCGGGGAACCGACCAGCCAGCGCTCGGCATCTGCCGCGGCGTGTCCAGCGACGCCCCGAGCATCCAGGCATTGCCTGCGAAACAAAAAGCGCCGTAGACCTCCCCGCCTGCATCGACCCCCCACCCTCTGCAAAAACATTATCCCTGGAAGCCGTTTGGATCGACGTCAAAGACGACGTTGACAATACTTGGAGCGTCGGGCCCACCTCGGCAGGAGGGCCCGGCCCGAGAGATGTCTCCGCGGCGCACGGCGCCCCGCCCATCTGGGATTGAGCTCACGCGCTTCCCGGAACGGCGCGGCTGCGGCGACCTCGTGGGAACCTTTCTGCGCGAGACGGCTGGCGCCGAGAAGGTGGCCCACTGCGAACTCCTGATATCGCTCGAGCGCCTCCGCGATGGGCCGCAGCCCCTCCCCGCGTCGCTGTCGAGGGGCTCCTCGAGGTCCACCTCTCGTCCTGGACGTGGCTTCTTTGCAGGGGCAGCCTGTGACTTGTCGGCATCCTGGGCCTCCCAAGCGCGCCCACCCTCCTTCTTGCCAGGGTCATCCTCGCCCTGGGCGCGCCCGCCCGGCGGCTCGGCTTGCGCGGTAGGCGCGCGTGGCCGCTCCTCCTGATCTCCTTCCCCCCCTCACTCTTCTCGTCCGCCGCCCGGGCGGGCGCCGGTGGACACCCAGGAGGTTCGGCGTTGACTTCCAACGATCTGCCCCGTCGTGATTAGCTCGCGCTGACGGGAGATACTGCGGCCCCTATCCCCCGCGCATCGACGGGATCTATAGTCCGCCGCTGCAAGCGCCAATCCTGGTTGTAGATCATAAGGCTGTCATCATCGCCCAGAGCTCCCCCATCATTTCCAGCGCGCTGGGCCCCCGCATCGGCCAATGCGACGCAATCCGCAACTGGCGCGGCCGCCCTTCCGCCTGCGCCGTCACCGCGGTCGGCGCGGCGTCTCGCCACGACGCGGGCCGCGACGTGGACGGCCCACGGGGCAATTGCGGCGGCGTTGACTGCGAGGCGGGCATGGACACATGCGGAAGGTCCTGCGACCTTGGACAACGTCGCTTAAACGCACGCCTCTCATCTCTCTGTACCGCGACAATATGACGCTTTGATAATGCGATTCGTATCATCACGAATGACGCGTTTCAAAGACCACTCATGGCGACTACGTTCTTCTGAGTAGCGTTGTTTCAGGTAGCAGCTCCTGCCCGCGCAATTTATCTCCACGCGCGGGCCTCGCTCAAGGACGAGCGCGCCCCCACACACACACACACACACACACAAACACACACACACACACACACACACACACACACGCACACACACACACACACACACACACACACACACACACACACACACACACACACACACCGCATCGCTAGGGCTTGCACCACGCGCGGGCTCTGCAGACCGAGCATAGCCCTTGCCCCTGACCAGGGCCGTCCGCGCCCGGGCTTCGTTTGCCAGATTTCCCCGGCGCGCCTGCCGCGGAGCAGGCCGCGGCGCCGCGGCCGCGGCGACTGCTTCCTCTGTCGCCTTCATAAAGGGCCACCCGAACCGATAGGAGCCTTTCCGACCTCACCACACATCATCAACACGACGGCGCGGGTCTGACCCCACCCCACGGCGGCCCGCCCCTCCCCCCTGAGACCAACACCGTTGGGGTTGGGAGCGGGCGGGGCCTCGCCTGCTCGTGCCCGAGCTGTCTCATTAATTCAACGTCGGTGGCGGGCACGGTCTCCGCGTCGGACGCGTCGTCGTCGCTGCCCGAATCGCGCTGCACGCGTCCGCGCCAAGGCGCGCCAGTCCAGTCCTCGATGGGCGCGTCGAACAACTCCCCGATCCAGTCGCGCAGGCACTCGGCGCAGCGCTCGACTGACATGGCAGCGTCGGCGAAGTGAGCCATCAACAACCAGTCGGAACTTGATCGGGCTCGGAGGGGTGATCGATTGCGAGGAAATCAACGCGCTCGATGATATCCGCATCGGCTTGCTCTGAACCGAAAAATCGGATCCGCCCCCCTTTCCAGCCCCCCTTGGGACACTGCGCTTGGAAATCGCATCGCTTCCGCAGGTATTGCACGTCATGCGTTTTCCGTTCCTGTCCAGTGGATTGAGTCTGCGTCCATTGCCCTTACCTGTGGTATGCCTACGACCCTTGCATCTGCCATTGCCCCCTAAAAAAAAGCCCTCGAAGTCGCAGTCTGTCAGTTGAGCCAGGAGCGCGGCGATGCCTCTGCCACGCAGTCTGCGGCTGCGCCTACCACATTGACCGCAGCCTCTACCTGCACGGAAAAAGCACGCACCGTTCGCCTAAATCTCCCAACTGGTTCCTTCACACATCGCTTCCACATTCTTGTGGCACGATGATAGTCTAGCCACAGGCACTGCGTTGCCGCATCATCGCCGGCGGGTAGATCTGACCAGTCGAGATTGTCAGCCTGGCAGAGGAGACAGCATCGGCATCGGTACCGGAATCGAAGACGTCATCTCCTCGTTGGCTGGGGGAACCCCAGAGGGTGGTCGCGTCAGGCGGAGTATAGCTGCCAGTCGATAGCCAGCCCATATTGGAGCCAGAAGCTTGTGCGCCGTTGGCTTCTGGGCCTCGAAACGTCGTTGACTCAGTAGTCCCTCCGTCATTCCAGATGCTATTCAGCATGGCTGCCGGTGCGTCGCTTATATCGGCGTGATAGGTGCCCGCGTTGCGTCCGCTGAAGAATATCCCGATGTTCCCTGGGGAACGCTCGGCCAAGTGCCCATGGCTGCGCATTCGCTCCAGGAGTTGGTCGCATTGTCGCTGGGCACGGGGCATCTGGCGGTTCAGCGGTTGCAGCAGCGGTGCCGCACGGGAAGTGCCGACTCCCAAGGCACAAGATAAGACCAGAGTGAGGATCTGGAAGTTGGGTATGTTGAAGCCCGCTGAATATGTTTCCAGCCTGGTCATTCCGAATCGGGCAAGTACTGAGTGGATGCGTTCGCCCCTATCGACCCTGTAATCGATGAGGACTGTCCCCGAGGTGAGCTCTCGCTCGCCCTCAAGGTTTCAATTTGCTGCTTGGTAGGTACATGATCTACGTGACTCCGTCGGTGCGTCTGCCCAGTAAGGTGACACCATGGTTGATGATGGTGGACGGCGCCCTCATGGCTAGCGTCCGAACCAGGCCCCCTAAACCGCGCTGTAAGACCGAGGCTTGTCAGACTTGCGCTCGCGACGTGAAGCCACACGTATAGTTCGCGAGCGAAGTCGCGGAATGGTACGTTGCCTGCGGGATCCCAGAAAGAAACCCCGAGTGCGTGTTTCATCCAGACCTCCTCCTCGCATGTACGCTACGACAAGAGCTAGACACACCCAACTAGTTCCAAATATAGCATCCTTGACATAATGCATGGTCATGTTGTATATGATGACGTCAGGTTTCATACCATTGGTGACTGTCGCGTCGGTGGGGTTGCGAAAGGGTGTCTGGTATAACGTGGCCGTCTGTTCTCGGATGGTCTAAGTATTTGGTTTGTGCGCGGCGTGTGGCCACGCGGTGGGGGCATGAAGGTTTAGGACTGTAGGCTACCAATTGGTTGAAAAGCATTGTGGGTAGAGCGGCTGATAGCGACCGCAGTCGGGTATTCCACTGTGCCGTGGTTGGTTGTTATGTACATAACACCTGCTTTGAAGGCCAGCCACATAATGTAGCTAGCTCCGCTACCAAGTGAAAAACTAATGTTTGAGAGCCCGATGATGAGATCATATGCTGAGAACCGTACTCTTAGAATAACGTCGGCGACGTATCGAAGTATCCCAAAACTCATCCTCTGATGGCAAGCAAAATGAAACAAGAGACAAGCCATGAGAGGTAGAGGAAGATCATTCACAGACGTGGCCTCTTGCCTGATACAATGAACCGGATAGAGTCACACCGTCGTGCAATTAGCAAGAAGGCTTGCGCAACCTTGAGCCAAATTTGCGGCGGATACCGCGGTCACTATACAGCCCCACCTTAAGCCTCGTTTAGAATCCGCTGCCCTTCCCGCCAGCACCCTCCGCAAGGGAGAGTCGCCGAAGGCGAGGCCCAGTGTGGTGCGCGCCATATGTGAACCCGATCCCTGTATGACGAACGAACAACACGCACCCATACCCATAGGGGGGTCGTTGGGAGGAGGACTGGCTATGGGTATGGGTGCGGGTTGTCGGACCCTGGGGAACGCTCCCGTTCGAGCGGGGACCCCCATCCGACAACACGCACCCATAGCCCTCTCCGATCCCCCTATGGGTATGGGTGTGTGTTGTTGGTTCGTCACTGTAGGTCGGATTTCTGAAACACTGGCAGAGGGCCCCAAGATGGCCCAGTTTGCCCCAAGACAGCCCCAGAATGGCCTCGAGAGAGCCCGGCGGAGGCCCCGGCACAGCCGCAGAGGTCCCCACGAGGGTCTCAAAACGGCCCAGGAGGGGTCCGCAAAACGGCCCAGGGAGGTCCCCCAGACGGCCTGCGAAGGCTACGGACGGGCGGGCAATGCAGCAGGCATCGGGCGTGCGGGCGGAGCGAGCGCCAGGTGACTATGGCCGTGCAGACAGCTTGGAGGATTGGAGGGTTGGGAGAAGCAAAGCAGGAGAAGCGGCTAGTAGGTCAACGCGGAGATGGTAAGCGGAGGAAGGGGCTCGCATAGTAAGTTCTTGTGAGACCAGCTCTTGGTCGACCTCGTTAGCTCCCTGGGGCCTTCTGAAGCCTCACGATGGCCTCCATACGGCCCAAGATCGCCACGAAATGGCTATAAGACGGCCCAAGATGGCCTCAAGACGGCCTCGGATGGCTTCAAGACTGCGCAAGACGGCACAAGATGGCCCCACAAGCAGTGCAGCTGCGATGCTCTGCGACGAGATACGGTGCAACGCAAAGCAATGCAGAGCAAAGCAATGAAATGCAGAGCAGTGGGGTAAAAGAGGAGGAGGAGGAGGAGGGAGACGGGAGGAGGCAGGAAGGAGGCAGGAGGCCGTAAGGAAGAGGCAGGGGGACGGGCACGCGCACGACGTGGAGGCGGCCGGTCAGGCAGGCCGCATCCGCTCGCCGTGCCAAGTCTGCCAGGAGCTGCCGGGCGGCCGCCTCGGCATCCTCGCCGTCGCGAGAGGAGGACGCGGTGGAAGGACGGGGACGGGGAGAAGGCAGGAGGCAGGACGGAGGGCCACGACGACGACGACGACGACGACGACGCCGACGACGACGACGACGACGACGAGGACGAGGGCGACGACGCATCCGGTGACGACGATGACGACGCGGAGGCCGAGGACGACGCGGAGGCCGACCCAGGACGCCGACGACGGAGGCTGGCGCTGTACCTGGCAGGAGGACCTCTGCACGCGCGCGCGGCGCGCGCCGAGGCCGCGGCCGTCCACCCGCAGCGCCCGCTCGCCGTCCACGAGGACCAGCAGATCCCGCCGCTCGCCTGCGACGCGCGGGGGCGCCTCGCTCTTCGCGCCTCGCGCGGCGCGCCGCCCTGCGCAAACTTTGACACCATCTTGGGCTGTCGTGGGGCCATCTTGGGCCGTCTCGTAGCCATCCCAGGGCCATCTTGTGCCGTCGGCAAGCGATCTCGAGGCCCCAGAGGGCCCAAGGGAGCTAGGCGCACAAAAACGTGCACGCGAGCACCCACCCACTCCCCGCTCTTCGCCATGTCCCCATGGAGTTGCTAGCCTTTGTTTCGGTTGTTTTTCTCCCAACCTTCAAGTACGTGCTATAAGCTGTCGACCCTTGCACCAGAGAACCGACGCCCCTCCGAAAATCCAGGGGCCATCGCCAGGCTCGGCGCCGTCAAGAATCGGCTCCGGGCGACGAGCCAGCCACAGGAAATGGTTAGCCGAGACCTCCAGGGGCCCACGCTGCGAGAGATATTTGTTCGGGGCGGCTGGCCCCAACCTTCCCGAACACCTCTGGCTGTCACCTTGTGGAATGCACGGGAATAGCTGCATGATATACAGAGGGACACGACGTACAGGTAGGGTGGCCCGTGCTATGAGAGAGCACGTTCTCTTTCCTTTTACGAAAGCCAGGGCGCGCCCGTCGCCTGCTCGCCAGGTGATTCAAGGGCCCTTGTGAGCCACATCCGCGGCACACAAGGGAGGCGGGACGGAGGCGAAGGAGGAGGAGAGGCTGACATACGCATGACAGCCACAGCTCGTACCTTCTTGCAGCCGAACTGAGTCCACGAACTTCCTCTTATTTTTCTTGGGGATCGTAACCATTCAGATACCATAGAGTTCCCAAGTAATCCCCAAGGCGTCTGTGACACGCGGCTGGCACAGCTACGCGAACACGCAGGCCTTGAAACCGTCCCTAGAAAAGGTCCATGAAGGGATTGTCAGATCCTGATTCGCCTGCAACTTTCCCCATTTCGCCCATGACACTCTTCGGCTCGAAGCCGATGGGGTAGCACTGCTACCCTGCTCGCTCCAAGTTGCCGGATGCTGCGCTGGGCGCTACGGCCCATTGCATCTCTCGTTCTTGGGGATCAGATTGACTTCGAAAATCTCAGGTCTGAGTCCTCGATCGGCTCGTCCCCTCCCTCGAGCATCGGCTGTCGAGTGGGAGTCGATCGAAAAATGGGACCGAACCGAGCGGACGAATCACCGCGGGCCTGCTGGACGAGGAGGAGGAGGAAGAGGAGGAGGAGAAGGAGCAGGGAGACGCATTGAGGAGGAGGAGATAGGAGTCGAGCCCTGCCGCAAGTCTCGCGGCTCGCCTGCGGTCAGCAGAACGCCGACACGCTGGCCCTCCCTCAGGGAGTCCTGGGCGGCCCGCACGGGGGAGTGCCTCATCCTCCTCCTCCTCCTCCTCCTCCTCCTCCTCCTCCTCCTCCTCCTCCTCCTCCTCCTCCATCTCCTCATCCTCCATCTCCGCCTCCATCTCCTCCTCCATCTCCTCCTCCTCCTCCTCCTCCATCTCCTCCTCCTCCTCCTCTTCCTCCTCCTCCTCCTCCTCCTCCTCCTCCTCCTCCCACATTCCTTGTCCTTACAAGTAACTTCTCCCTGTCGCACCCCGAGGCCGGTCGAGAGTGCAGACAAGGCGCTCCGCCTGGGGCTTCCTGATCACTCATGACCCCAGAGCTTTCAAGTTGGCACCAGTTCCACAAATGGAAGGCGGGGATCTTCAAGATGTGGCTCTCGCCTGAGCGCCGCGCACACTCGTTCTTCAAAATGCAAGAGCTTCACGGATTGAGGGCAGGTAGTTTTCAAAATGTGGCTCTCACCTTCGCGCTGCGCACACTCGTCTCAAAAGTTTGCACGGGCTTCACGGATTGAGAGCAGTTGCTTTCAAACAGCGGCTCTCGCCTTAGCACTCCGCACATTCGTCTTACAGTTTTGCCAGGGCTTCACGGAGTGAGGGCGGGTCGTTTTCACAATGCGACTCTCGCCTGCGCGCCGCGCACAGTCGTTTCAAAAATTAGCAGAGGCTTCACGGAGTGAGGGGGGGTCGCTTTTTAAATGGGGCTCGACCCCTAGCGCCGCACATTCGTCTCAAAACATTGCAAGAGTTGCACGGGTTCCCATGCTTGGCGCAGCAGGAAGGGCCTTTTCGGAGCCATTTATGATTGCCAGAGGCCACAGTTCATTTGATTCCCGGCGTTGGAGTCCCAGGAATGGTGTCCTGGCACAATTCAGGGTCGTCAAGACACAATAATCAGGTTGACCCGTGGCGTCGAAGTCTTGCGAATGATATTCTGGCACGCTTCATAATTCAAACGGGAGTCTCACAACGGGGCACTTCCCTCAGTGGAGATGAATCCTTTTTTATCTTCGAAACGTTTCGGCTTCCTCCTCATCACCATCATCGCATTGTTCTCATTACTCGTACTATTGCTCTTATTGTTAAAATTTCTACATTTTATAATTAATAAAGAAAAGTATGCTTCGTCGTTTGCTATTCCTCTTCTTCTGCATCATCATCATAATCAGCCGCATCCTCATCAGCATTGTTCTCACTATCAGTATCAGTATCAGTATCCTCCTCCTCCTCCTCCTGCTCCTCCTGCTCCGCCTCCGCATCCGCCTCCGCCGCTGCCGCCGCCGCTTCCTCCTTTTCCTCCTCCTCCTCCTTCTCCTCCTCCTCCTCCTCTTCCTCCTCCATTCCTGTTCCTCATGGATAACTAACTCCTCCCTGTCGCACACCGAGGACAGCCGCAAGGGCGGGCCAGGCATTTCGTTTGAGACTTCCTTACCTCTTACGACCCTGAAGTTCAGAAGTTGGCAACACGTTCACAAATTCAGGGCGGGCCTTTTCACGATATTGCGTTCGTTGCCGCGCACCGCTCACTCGCCTTACAAATTTTCATGGGTTTTACGGATTGAAGGCGGGTCGTTTCAAAAATTGTGATCTCGCCTTCGCGCCGCGTACACTCGTTGTAAACATCTGAGAAAGTTTCACGGATTGGGGGCGGGTGGTTTTCGAAATGTGGCCCTCGCCCTAGCGCTGCGCATATTCGTCTCAACAAATTGAAAGAGGTTCACGGATCGAGAGCGGCTCCTTCACAAGATGTGGCTCTCGCCTTAGCGCCGCACACTTTCGTTTTAAAAACCCAGCTTGCCCTCTGGGCTGAGTGGTCTACCGGAGCTCCCTGCCACAACCCATCATTCCCCTGCTCGGGGGAAGGTCTGTACCCCTGCCATTACCCCCAGACCCGCAGTTTCATCTCATCACACAGCGCGCACACCGCCACGCGAGCGTGTCGAAACCCTGTCAAGGCCAATAGTTTTCGAAGCATGTCAAGTCGAGCTTTTCTGGGCGTATAAATAACCAACGTATGAAGCTTGAATGGGGGGGGGATTCCGCGAGCGTGCGCACTTCCTCACCACCACCCTCACCAGCGCCGCCGCATCACGTCATCGTGATCGATAGACGCCGCCTTTGCGGCCATCATCGCTCAAGCTCAAGCCATGGACGCCATCATAACCACAATCATCCACATCATCACCATCACCATCATCATCAGCAGCAGCATGAGCATCATCACCCTCATCATCATGATCATCATCATCATCATCATCATCATCATCACCATCATCATCAACGCCATCGGCGTGACCAGCATCTGCGCCATCATTGGCACTGCCGTCGTCGTCGTCATCATCGCCACCACCTTCGCTACTATCACCATCGTTGCCACCGTTGTCGAGGTCATCATGATACCGCGCCCGCCCGAACCACCGACCCGCATCATTATAAAGTACCAGCGGGCCAGCGCGGCCTCTGAGACTGGGAAGTCGCCATCGGTAAGTGCCATCGCGGCCACATCGGCTGTGCCAAACCAGCTGGCGAACTTGCGCGCGCCAGCGCGGCCGCAGAGATGCGCCAGCCAGGGCCAAGCAGCCATCGAAATCGCCGCCGCATGGGTCTTGTAAAACAAGTTGCGGGTGGGAGGGTGGGATGATTGCACGAGCAGTGGAGCTGACAAATCATGAGTGGGCAAAAAGAACAATTACACCACACAGATCGCATCCCATTGACCGCACCTCACAGAGAGCATATCGGCAGGGCAAGGACCCGCTGTCCGGGGTCCACGCTGGCAGAACCATGCTCGTGCTGCCCATGCTCTGAAGAAGACCTCGCAGAATCTGGGAGGGCTGTTGTGAGGCGGGGGGGCCCTTTTTTTGGACGCTCGAAATGGGTACCGAAAAAATGGGTACAATACCCAACAGCAAATGTTGTCCCAATCCATCAGCGGCCGCTGTTGGGCAGGCGGCCTTCTGTCTCGAATGGACACAGGCCGCGGCGGCGTGGACAGCGGATCTTGTTCAAAATGAACAGGAACTGCTGTTGGTCATAGTACCCATTCTTTCCGTGCCCATTTCGGGCGTCCAGATCTGCGCTCGCAGCAGGGCGGGCTGAGGCAACGGCAGCTCAAAATCGATTCCCAAACCCCTTCCGGGGTCCAAACGCACCAGCTTTGAGAAAGCTGCGCCCGGCCGTGGCGAAGGAGGAGACCCCCCCCCCCGAAGGCAGACTGCCGCTGCCTCAACTCGCCCTCCTCTGATTCGGCAGCGAGTCCAGGGCGGACGTCAGAGGGGGCTTTGGAGGCCTGGAAATTGGCACCAACACCAACACAGGGATTTGACTCCACAGGGGGAAGATGATCCTAGATTTCGGTGTTGGTGGTAATATTTCAATCACCTTGGAAGCCAGAATATTACCACCATCACCGAGATCGGGATCTTCTTCCCTCGGTGGAGACACACCACCGAAATTGGTGTTGGTGTCAACCTCTAAGCCTGCGAGGGCTGACCTTCTCGGAAAGCTCGGAAGGCCCCCGGCCTTCTGCCTCCGCAGACATCGACGGCATCCTCCGGGGGCTCGCAGACATGGACTGGTGATCCACGGATTTGGCGCGCCCAGGATGCGGCCCGTGCGGCGGCGGAGATGTGCGATGTCCCATGGAATCGGGACCCGTCGCTGATCCACGCTCCCTCTGATCCATGTTTGCGATCGCCTGAATCTCAGAAGGCTGGAGGACCTCTGAGGAGCCCGACGCCTCCTGAGAGGGCCTGCCTCCTCTCTCGCTCCCCCCCCCCTCGGCCGCCGACCGACTGCGCGCGCCGCCCATCTGTCGGGCTGAACTGCCCCCCCCCAAACCCGCACGCGAATGCAGTTTCCGCTCAACATCTGGAAAAAGCGAACCGAGCGCTCCATTTCGCAGTGCCGCGCCGGGGGGGGGGGGACCGTGCCCGCTCCTGCGCCGACGCGAACGCGAAGACGGCAACGACGACGACGACGACGACGACGACGACGACGACGACGACGACGGCGACGACGACGACGACGACGACGACGACGACGACGACGACAGCGACGACGACGAGTTCGAGACGGCATGTTTGAGATGGCATCTCCGGCTGCCACGCGGCGGGCTGCTCCGCCCCGCCCAGGAACACCCCGCCGTGGTAGCCCACCACGAAGGCGCCCGGGACCTGCGAGGCCCGGGCCGGGAGGCCGGCCGCCAGCAGCTCCTGCGGCGCGCGGTGCGTGAGGCCGACGCCGAGGCCGCCGACCCAGCCCTCCACCGTCCTGACGACCTCCACCTCTCGGCGGCGAGCGAAGGGGGGAGGAGGAGGAGGAGGAGGAGGAGGAGGAGGAGGAGGAGGAGGAGGAGGAGGAGGGGAGGAGGAGGAGGAGGAGGAGGAGGAGGAGGAGGAGGAGGAGGAGGAGGAGGAGGAGGAGGAGGAGGAGGAGGAGGAGGAGGAGGAGGAGGAGAGGAGGAGGAGGAGGAGGAGGAGGAGGGGGGAGGGGAGGAGGAGGGGGAGGGGGAGGAGGAGGAGGAGGAGGAGGAGGAGGAGGAGGAGGAGGAGGAGGAGGGGGGAGGAGGAGCGAGGAAGAGGAGAGAGGAGGAGGAGGAGGAGGAGGAGGAGGAGGAGGAGGAGCGATCCGAATCGATATCGATTCTGGCTGGCTCGATGCGACTCGATGCCGATTTTCCGAAGATCCCGTGCGGCCCGATGCTTGCATACAGCAGGGGCGTTGACCTAAGGAACCCTGAATAAGGAACGAGGCCCCTTTTCTCCAGAAGTTGAATCTCGATTTCCCATGGGAAACCTCCGGAAAACAGAAGGCAAACTGCAGAACAATCAAGGAACACCGAGCCCCTCCCCAACGAAAAAGGTCCCTTCTGCAGGGCCCCGGCTGCAGTGCTGCTGTGCGCCCTGGCGCGGCCGAGACGACTGGACTCCGACGCCCCCCGCGCTCGCCGCCGCGCCTCGAAGTAGAGGCCGCACGCCCGCTCGGGCAGCGGGGCGGCGCCCACCGCCACCGCCCCGCGGCAGCCGCGCTCGCGGGAGGCGGCGTAGCCGTCCGGGGATCCGCCGCCGGGGCGCGGCCGAGGTGACTGCAGTCTGGGGGAACGAACGAGGACAGAAACAGAATGACTCCTGGCGGAGGCCGGCGCGGTCCGCGCGGACCTCCGAGAAATCCGCGCGGGCTTCGCCGACCTCCGCCGGATGGCACAAGCATGGAAACTCGGAGGTCCGCGCGGATGTCTCGCATCGGCGCTGGGGGCCCCCTGGCGCGCTCCGCGCGCCAGGGGAGGGGGTCCAGCGCGTCCAGCGCAGATCCGAGAGATCCGCGCGAACCTCCGAGTTCCATGTTTATGCCATCTTTCGTTTCCCTGCAGTCCACCCGTGTAAAGCAAGGACACGAGATGATAGTGCAAAGGCCTTGGAGGGCCATGTCGACACCTTGCGAGGATGGGCCGAAGGGGAAGGGTGCAGGGGTGGCCTGGGAGAGTTGCTCTTCCTTCCTATGCGGGCCGATTGTACCTACCAAGCCACCCCAACCCAACCCGAAGTCGCCGCTGCGCCCATCTATTCCCAGCGGGGGGGGGCATTCTGGAGCACTGGAAAAAAGCACGGTGGAACCCGTGCGTTCTCCCACCCGAAATGGGGGGCAGGAGAGCCCAGAATCGAATCGATAAGGCGCATCTGCGATCGACATGAATCGGATCGGCGGAAATCGGCAGCCCAGTCGGGAGAAGTCGAATCGGCGGAAATCAGCAGACCAGAAGGCCCTCTATCGAAAGACATCGGAATCCACATCGGACTCCCGAGTCGAATCGACGCGGAATCGGAAGCCATCGAGGTCGAAATCGAATCGAGTCGGAGGAACCGAAGCGAGCGCCCTGTTGGGGGGGGGGGTCCGGGGCCGTCGGGGCAAGCGTTCAGTCGGGCCTGTCCCCCTACAGGGGGATCTTCGACGAAAAATAAAAAATACTCCGAAAATAATCAAAAATAATCCAAAAACAGTCTGGGAACCATTTTTGGAGCATTGTTTGTCCTTCTGGCGTATTTGGGCGGGTATATTTTTTTTTTCGTCGAAAACCCTCTGTAGGGGGACACGCCCGACTTAAGGCAAGAGGTGCGTGGCCTGTGGCCAACCAAGTGGCGGAGAGGCACGTGGCGAGAGGCACGTGGCGGCCCTCCCGTGCCCGCTCGAGCAGCCACCACCCTGCATGGAGGAAGAAAAAACTGCACACGGCAGGTTCGCGCAGCGTAGGGGGAGGAGGAGGAGGATATGGATATGGATATGGCTCTAACGCGGTGCGTATGAAAGAAAAGGAAAGGACTCCTCAGGAGCCTTTCACACGCTTGGAGGGATACTTGGGACATTGCCCTTCCTCCACTCTGCGAAGATAAGCCGCCCCAGTGGGGGTGAGGGTGCCGAGGCAAGACTGGGCCAAGGAGGCCCGAAGCTGCTCGACACCGAAACTCCCACAGGAACTACAAATCCACACATTATTCTTGGCTTGATAAACCATTTTGTGAGTCTCGTGAACCCAGCCCCCCCCGATATGTACCGAGCGTCCCCTCGGCACCTGGAAAAGGGCGGAGTCGACAGACTGCAGATTATAGCACTGACTCCTGCGCCACGCCGCGGCAGCTGCTGCCGAAGCCGAGCTCCGACAAACAAGGCAGGCACGGCCACTCTCGGACAAGGTGTGCTCGGACTCGAACACGGACACAACACTGGGCGCTGGCGGCCTGGGTGCCTTGGTCTGATCACGAGCACGAGGAGCGGACGGGGACGCGGCCATGGCCTCGAGAGTGGATCGGAGCAACCTTTTTCGGACGAGCCCTGCTTCCAACTCAATCTTCCCAATTCTTGTCCTGGTATGCTGGTTGACACGCACCATACTGGCAGCAACTCCAGCAAGAGTGTCAGCAACTTGGTTCCCGATGAACATCCACATCGGCAACTTGGAATCAACATGTTGCTCCGCCTCGAGGTGAGAGGGAACCTGCAAAACGGTAACCTGTGATACATCACGCCCTTCGAGAGCTAGGCCAATGAGCTTCCAAATACTAGCGTTGGGCCCCGATGGGGCTGCATACTTCTTCTGAAACCACCCGTTGACGACCCCGCTATTGTCGGACACGTAAACCAAGGACCCCAAGGTGTGCCTGATCGCCAGTAGGAGGCCCCAGAGCTCCCCCCGAGGGACAGTCTGAAAGCCTCCAGGAAGTCCTCCAAATATACATGCTGCAACCGTAGGGTCGCCGTAGTCGCTGAGAGAGACAGCCGAGACACCGACACGCCGAAGTCGAGAATCACGACTATCTTCACCCCCGCTGCCGTCCCCGAAGACAATGATGGGCTCCTCGGGGGTGCCCATGCCGAGCCCTCCAGTGGCTGGGAAACTGTCATGCTGAGCATGGTACATGTGCCACTGCTCGCTGTCTGGCGGAGGCTCCACTGAGGTCTACCGCGCAGGGATGAGGCCCCGCGACCAGAAACATGCCGCTGCGTCGTGCTCGGCAACAGCACGCGGAACAAGATGAGCAGAGGAAGAATACACTGCATGATCCTTGTTAAAACTGCACAGCCAGCCTCGGTGAAGAGGTGTCTCCTTGCTCTCCCCACACCGAGGACAGAGGCCGTCGCACTGCGCATTCGTCTCATCCGCAACCCTTCCCTTAGGCCATGTCCCTCCCACTGCAATAGCGAACATGGTCTCACATAACTGAGTGCCGTGCGGTACGGACGAGAGCGCTGCAAGAACTTGCCGAAGAGAATGGTTATCTACCCCGTGCTGGACCCCTTCCCCGCAAAAATGTGACGCCGCTGACTTCCAAAGCTTGAGACGGACCGTTTTCTCGAACTCGGACACCAACCCACTAAAATCCTCCGACCAAGAAACGACCTCATCGGGGAACGTCCAAATCGCTCCAGGATCGTCATCGCTAGCTGGTGTGTGCCACTCGCTCGGTGATACTGGGTCCCAACCGAACTCCAGAAGATACGCGACCATGGCGGAGATGGGCCCCCGCACTGCTTGTGAAACCTGCCGTGGCTCCATCTGCCGAAACTGAGCAACTACGCGCGGCCAAGCCGCGCGAACCGCGGGCCGGAGCGACGGGTCCTGGAACCAAGTGCGTAACCATAACTGAAAACATTCCCTCGGAAGTTTGTACCCAGGATCATGTCCGTCGGCCCGCAGATCGAGAACCGCAGTTAAACACCGACCACGTGTGGCCGAGGAAAGCGTGTGACCGAGGCGGCGTCTGCACTGCTGGCGAAAGGTACCGAAAGCCCCCACAATCTGGCGCCCGTAGCTGCCTGCAGCTTGCGCCCCGACACGTTCCAGCAAACCAGTCCTGAGATAATTCCTGGACGCCCGACCGAACTTACATATCCTAAAATTCATGCCCTTCGCCTTAGCCACCCGTTTGGTCCGAGAAGCCCGTGCTACGCGACCAGCCCCGAGATCAGCCCCGAGGAGAGTGGTTTGAAGAGCATGCTGCAGATGAAAACCCCGACGCCGAAGGCGTTGGACAACACTTTTGCTGTCCGAGGCGCTGGTGCACATGATGACGCTCTTGGGTGACACAGGCAAGCCGTGCGCCACAAGCGACCGACACGTGTCGAGCACGCCTTGATATAACTTCTCTCGAACTGCTTTCCGAGAGCCAGCGACATGTTCATTGATATCATCTACCCAAACTCGAACAGACATAGACGGATGAGCCACTGTAATCTTACTCATGATGAAATAGATCATACATCGCCCAAAACGCGTCCCAGACCTGAGCCCCTGAATGATGCTCTGGACGACCTGGAAGGCCTCGGAGTAGGACCCCAACTGAGAGACCGTACGAGGTGCTGCACACATCTGTAGTTCCAAGAAGAGAACCTCAGGAGGGAACCCAAGCCTGAGAGCGGCCCGAGCCAGAGGACCCCACTGCATCTCATCGTAGAACCCCTTGATGTCTACGAGGCCCTCCCCGAAAGCGATCCCCAAGTTGTGCATGGCCTCGTCCTTCAAAGCGCGAACGAAGGCCTCGCGGAGCGCCGAGTTCCCCGCCACTGCGGCGTCCCACGCAGGCTCGGAGTCCTGAGACCAAGAACGGACGTCGTCCTCCCGAGCGCGGGACCAAGTCCTGGTAAACATAGACATGAGACCAATAACGCGGTCAGAACCAGATTTTTTCCCTAAAAGCTTCCCAACGACCAGGAGAACCTGCCAGGGCCAGGAAAGACATTCCTCGCAGGCGTTGTAGAGCCCAGCGAGCTCCGAAACTCCAGCAAACGGCAA